TGGGTCCTCTTAAACTAATTTCTCTGCTTGACATATTTTGGACTATGCTGCTAGTGTGAATTCAGACCACAAAATTTGTGGGCTGGCAGGGCTGGGGGACCAGTTCAAATACCAAGGAATATTTTTCCCCTTCTTCCCATTGTCAGGGAAGACGTGTACAGACTTCTTTGCTGTCCCTTGTAGAGGAAGGGTTATTTTTTTCTACCCCTCATTGAGGCTGTAGCCATCCAGTGTCCCCACTTTTTGAGGTGGTCTCTGTCTCCTTTTAGACTCTGTATCCTGAGCATCTTTCCTTTTCTTTGCATGGGTACATAAAATAATGGTTCATCTTACATTTGATGGTGTCTTACACTTAGTGAAATATGGTGTTTTAGTGATTGTAACTTGATAGATTTTACTGTCTCAGGGCAAGTTCTCAGTATCCTGTAAGTCTTGGCTCTTGTTCCAAATGAATTTTGAAATGACTCAAGTACCCCTGACAGTCTCTCTCCACAAAACAGAAGCAAAACAAATCCCAAACAGTGTAGTTCTAGGATTTTAATATCACCTAATAAGAAAAACTAAGAACCTTTAATTTCACACATAATTGTTCACTGTTCATTGTTTTCTTTCTTCTTATACTTGGTTATAAAATTTGGGCAAGAACTTAAGTTCCTGATACTGTTTTAATACTATAAAATAATTAATTTAGAATATTGACAGTTCTATACATGGTTCGTGTAAATGGAGAGCACTTCTGTTGAATAATTCTTTATGTTTATCTCCCTTAGTCCTTTTTAGAATTGTTCTTTAAAAAGCCTCACATGAACTTGACAGAAATTTTTTCTTTTACTTTCTATACTCGTTTTGTTCTGAAGGTCTACCACACTAGTCAATCTCACTGAACACTCCCAGCCGCACTTCTGTCCCTTCAGAAGCCCCGAGGCCTTGTGCTCACAGGCCTGGTTCTTCGGAGGCAGTTAATGGTGCAGGTGTGGTAAAGCTGAGCACCTGACAGAATATTCTTTTACTTCAGGAAGGAACAACAGTGCATAGTATATATTATTACTATAAGTTTGCAAAGTTCACCAAGGATTCTTTTTTTCTCTTAAAGACTTTCTTGTCTTTCCAGAAAGTTGGAGTAGAAATTACATTGCTGAGAAAACTCTCAGAGGACATTCCCACTTTGCTCCTGTGATGGATGACAGAAAAGTGGTTCATCAATATTGGCTCAGAAAGAATTCTCACAAGTAGGAAGTCATTTAAAAGAAAACCTACAGAACAAAAAGACAATGAAGAAAATCAGTACCACCTTTGGACAGTATAGATAAGAAAATGTAATTTTAAAAATGATGCAGTTAAAAATTCCTCAGATCAGGTTAGTTGTACAGCTGTCAAAGTAATGCGTGATATCAATGAAGAAATATTTGTGGCATGCAGACGGTTATTTCTGTTTCTTAAAGACCTATTGTCAATGGGCTATTAAACTTGCATTTTTTTTTAATTAATGTAGTATGTTCTTTTATTCAAGTATGGACTTCTTGAGAAACCATAGTTATATGATTTTCCAAAAATTTATGTTCTACTTTAAATGTGAGTTGTAGTTCCCAGCTGCTTTACTGAGGGGTCATTTGTGTCTAAGAGGAAGTAGCCAAGATTGCTTATATTCCAGGTTGAATCTGAGGTCTTATGAAGCCTTTCAAGCGCTCGCTGAGCCTGTAGTTGTGGAAGTGAGATGCTCCTGCAGCACAGAAGTCCTGGGAGGTGCTCTCCCGGGACATCCATGTCCGCTAGTGGGGTCATTGGGGGGCAAACGGGAGGCTTTCCATTTTGTCATCTGAGTTAGCTGTGCAGTTGCCTCGTTGCTAAACTTTCAATTAATGTGAGAACCAAAGTAGAGTTTCTTGGGTTTTTTTTGTTGTTGTTGTTCTTTTTCTTTTTTTCTCTTTTTTTTTTGCTTTGTATTAATTTCACTTATACCAAAGTGTTTCAAAGTATGAAATGTATTGCTTCTAGACTATAAATCTACTTCCTGAAAAGACTGTTCTGTAATATTTCACTTTGTTTTATTATAACTTCAAATTATCTTAAATATTTTCCTAATACATGGGAATGCTGATTTTTCTTCTTTTGTTATGCGGTAGAAACATTTTACACTGTTTATTACATAGTTCTCATGGAACATAGAATTTTTTGAAAGCAACATATGATACACATTTTTTGTGTATATATTCTAATTAGTGTGAATAAAATAGTAATTGCATTTTTAAAAAGCAGCAAACGTTTCTCGTCTTCCTTAAAAATATGCCTGTGAGTTCAGTGTTCATTTACTTTTCACTGTGAGTCCCTGCTGTATATAGTTAATTCATAGCATTTGCTCCTAATAATTGAATGAGGACAGAACAATTTTAGAGCTGCACATGATCTCAGGCAACATAATTCATGCCAGCCACCTCATTCGCTCACTGAGGACGCAACAGTGCTTGCCTTTCTCTGGCTGCAGATCTAGTGGCAGATTGGGCTGGAATACAGTTTCACTGACTCCCTTTTGGCCTTCATGTCTCTACACCTAGTACTACTGCTTTTCAAATAATTTCCACTTAACCCAAAGTGATGAAATAAAGAAAAATGAATGTTATCTATATATACTTAATAAAATCCAGTCAAGTTTGATTTTTCAACTTACAGCTGGTTTCAGCAGCATCATTCAACCTATGTCTTCTGAGTATTGTGGGCAGAGGAGAAGAAATACTTGAGCCAATGTCCAAAGAAGAAATGTATACCAGCTGAGTTTCAGGAATCGTGAAATTTTATTTTAACACTTGAAACATAAATTAGTTTTTTGGTGACTCTGCCTGTGGACATGAATTTATATTACTCTTCAGTTTTTTTTTTAAAGATTTTATTTATTTATTTAGAGCACATGACGGGCGGGGGGTGTCAGAGGGAGATGGAGAGAATCTCAAGTGGGCATGGAGCTTGACTCGGGGCTCGATCCCACGACCCTGAGATCATGACCCTGAGCCGAAATCAAGAGTCGAACAGTCAACCCACTGAGCCACCCAGGCACCCTACTCTTCCATTTCTTCAAACAAAACAAAAAAGCAAAATGTTAGTAGGTCCCATGAGGGCAGAATCTGCACTTGTTAGCATATTGTTCACTATTGATACCCCCATGCTTAGCACAGTCTTGTAACACAGTAAGGCACTTTCCAAATATTTTCTGAGTAAGAGAATTTTAAGAATCAAAACATGATCTAACACTTGGAAGAGACCTTGGAAGACCATCCAGATCAGTGGTTTTAAACTTTTAAACTTTAAAAAACTTTTTCACTTTTAAAAAGCAGCAGAACCCTTTTTCAAGTGAGAACTTTCACCAAATTCCAGAACATAATCTAGATGTGAGCATCTGAGTCAAGTTTGACCTCCCTCTTTCCCCAGGAAGAGCTTATCCCCTCCTGGAACCTCCCACTCCAGGCCCTAATCTGGGATAACACCCTCACTTTCCCTAGGTGCGGAAGGTCAAATCTCTCCTTCTGAAAGGGTTTCATATGCGAAGTATGGGACAAAAAAAGCATCCGGGTCTGAAGTTGGTGGTTGGAGTCCTCACAACACTGATGATGGTAACGTGGCTGGTTAACTTGACGTGTAACAAGGGGATAGTACTTTGCAGCTCTGACAGACCTCTTGAGTCTACCAAGTAAGGGTGTTTTCTCAAAACCAGAGTATAATTATAACAAACTACACAGGTTATATTGATTTTTTTAGGTAAGTATGTTATTGGAAAGATGTGATCCACACAGAGCCTTGGCAATGAGGCAGAGGGTAGATAACCACCATCCTGGCAGGAAGATCATATGTGCTGAGTTAGTCACTCATGACATACGGTCTGACCATAAACAGGGTGCTGGTGATCAGGACTGTCCAGAAACCCAGGATGATTGGCCTTGGTATCTATCTTGCCATTGCTTTAGGTTTCTGTGTCGTGAGGCATCCCACTACCTCAGTGTTCACCAAACAATACTTGGGTGGAGACTTGGTTTCCTGTGTAGATTTTGCCATCTGGGAGGAGGGTGAACTGAACTGCAGACCCTGAGTGTTTGGTTTTCTTTGAAGTTATAGTTCTTGTCACTTGGTAGGTTGGCCTTCTGGCTTTGTAGTAGTCAGTTCGCAGGTGGGTCCTCTAAGAGGAGTTGATAGAATTTAGCTCCTTGAGGAGCTGAGGTGCCAACATGGTGTTCCTGCTGTTGTCCATCTCCCTGCAGAGCATCTCCCCGAGATGTCTGTCCTCCTTCCAGCAGGTTATCAGCCTTGTTCTGGCATTTCTTTTTCTTTTTTAAAGATAGATTATTTATTTATTTATTTGACAGAGAGAGAGAGAGGACAAGTAGGCAGAGCAGAGGGAGAGGGAGAATCAGGCTTCCTGCTGAGCGGGGAGCCCGATGCGGGGCTCGATCCCAGGACCCTGGGATCATGACCTGAGCCGAAGGCAGCTGCTTAACCGACTGAGCCACCCAGGAGCCCCTGTCCTGGCATTTCACCTCTAAATTGATAAAACGTTGATAGCATCATAAAGACCTCTGGTGCCCACCTGCCTTTCTTTATGTCCAGGCTCTTAGCTGTGGCTCTTTGTGCAAGACATTTTCCCCCTAATGCCTCGGCAGGCAAAGTGTTTTTTGGTTTTTGTCCATTTTCACTGCCATGAAATTCCCTGACCTCAGAGTTGTGAGACCAAATGGCAATATGAGTAACGTGCGTGTGACAGTGCCAGGCATGTGGCCACACCCAGAATGCCGCTTGTTTGATCGCTGTTACTGTCGTGTCACCAGGAGCACTCAGGTAGACCCAGGCCTTGGTGGCCGGCTCGCTGCCACTTCCTGTCCCTGGGCCAGGTTGCTCCAAGCTGAGGGCTGCTAGCGGCTTCCGCGGGTGTGTGAAGTGTGGCAGCTCGGAAGAGGTGGCGGTCATTAGAAAGGAGAAGGGGCGGTGGAGCCAGTCGGGGTGGGATGGCAGGGCGGGGGTGCTAATGCTGATTCGCCTGCTGCACGCAGCTCAGCATGCTTGGTGCCTGTGTGTAACCTCTGCATGCCCTGATTCTCTAAGCTCGTTTTGGGATAAGGATCCAGAAAACATGTCTTTCCTTCTTTTTTTTTTTTTTTTTTAAAGATTTTATTTATTTATTTGAGACAGAGAGAATGAGAGACAGAGAGCATGAGAGGGAGGAGGGTCAGAGGGAGAAGCAGACTCCCCGCCGAGCAGGGAGCCCGATGCGGGACTCGATCCCGGGACTCCAGGATCATGACCTGAGCCAAAGGCAGTCGCCCAACCAACTGAGCCACCCAGGCGCCCCCATGTCTTTCCTTCTTAATTCTTTTTTCTCCCTGACATTTTGTTTTCCTGCTTTAAAACACCAACCCTTTTAGATTTTCCCCAAACCCATCAGCCCCACAGAACACTTAGAAAATGACTTCACATTAACACCAGTGGGAGCTCATGAGATAATACACTTCCTTCTTTTAGTCTCAGGTCAAGGGAAGCGAATTTGGACAGTATACATGCTTAGTATTCTAGGAAATTACCATAAAATATGTTCAGCGTGTCTGAAGCTGTATGATGACACGCAAAACACACCAGGGATTTTCGAGGGCCCAGCCCTGAGCTAGCAGATTGGTTAGAGGGTGAGCTGCAGTTCGGGTTCATGGGCAGGTGGAAATGGTATACTTGGGATGGCCCACCGTGTTTTTCTGCCATTTCTTATGTTAAAAAGTGACTTTTAAGAGCCTGTATTATGGAAACTTTCTTTTTTTTTTTTAAGGTTTTATTTATTTGAGAAAGCGAGCGTGAGCGAGCTCATGCGAGTGCGCAAGCGCGCGCATGAGCAGGGGAGGGGGAGGGGCGGAGGCAGAGGGAGATGCAGGCTCCCCCCGCCCGAGCAGGGACCCCGACGTGGGGCTCCGTCCCAGGACCCTGAGAGCATGACCTGAGCTGCAGGCAGATGCGTCGCTGACTGAGGTACCCAGGCGTCCTGGAAGTTTTCACATACTCAGAAGTATGGAGAATGGTGCAATGCACCCCCGCGTTCGCTTCCCCTCGCTTCAGGGGGCTGTCAGGGGCGGACTCCCGAGGAGATGGCCCGATGGACAGGTAAGTGGTGGTAGCCAGGTGACAGGGGGCGGGGAGTGCATTCAGGACATGTGGGAGGATGTCAGGTGGGCAAGGGCATCGCACGCTCGGGGCGCTGGAAGAAATTAGGTTGTTACGCGTGAAAGGCGCAAAAAGAGCCACATGAGTGTGTTGAGTATGATTTTCATTACAGTGGTTTTATTTTTTATTTATTTATTTATTTTTTTAAAGATTTTATTTATTTGAGACAGAGAGCATGAGAGGGAGGAGGGTCAGAGGGAGAAGCAGACCCCCTGCCGAGCAGGGAGCCCGATGCGGGACTCGATGCGGGACTCGATCCCGGGACTCCAGGATCATGACCTGAGCCGAAGGCAGTCGCTTAACCGACTGAGCCACTCGGGCGCCCATTCATTACAGTGGTTTTAAAGACAGCATTCTAGGGGCGCCTTTTCTTCCTGTAGTGATTTAATAGCATTCACTCCTGTTGAAAGCAGCGCAGTCTGAAATATTGGCGAATGCTCGCTCCCAGCTGAACTGTATTCCTTTCCCCCGCCTCTCAGATCCGAGCCGGCTGCTTCGCTGAGACCCGCTTGCTTCTCTTTCCAGGGTGTCTTTATTGCTGAGGTTTTGCAGGGTACTTCTGACTGCTGGAGAAGCGTCAGGTGAACGAGGCTGCTGTGGATCTCTGCACGATCCTCCCCGGCCTAGAGCTGGGGTGGGCACTTGGGGGGTGTGGACGCCTTGCGGTTCAGCTGCTGTCCACGCTCTAGCTCTTTCCTGTAGTCTTCACAGGAGCCTGTTGGAGGTGGGTGTTATCCACCCCATTTTACAGATGAGAGAACTGAGGCTTCTAGAAGCGAGCCGTCTTGCCAGGGCCACACAGTTAGTGGCAAGGCTGAAAAAAGTGCATCTAAACCTCAAAAATAAAAATAGGGGAAGTCCTTTCAAATACTTGCGGATTGGCTGCCTGCCTCTGTTTGGAAATGCCCAGGCAGTCACAAGGCTTATTTCATTATTATTGCAAAAGCCAAAACATCCTGAAACGATACCTATGGAAGAAAAAGATAAGTTTTAGGGGCTGTGGATTATAATTTGCTTTGTTGTTTTCCCCTGAAGTGCTGTTTTCTTTGATTTAGGGCTAAAAACCTCTTGTTAATGAAGATTCCCAAATCTTGGTCTAAGTAGGACATAGATGTTTGCACAACTCCCCTCTAAATTGAGAAGGGAGGAATAAATGCAAGATGATCTATCTGATCTTAGCGTGGAGAGAGTGGCCTAGTCTGTGTGCCCACCCTGAGCTTCTCAGTGCCCATGGCCTGGTTGACCCTCCTTGGGCTGGCTCTCCATTCTTGCTTCCATTACCAGTTTTCCTTCTGCCCAGGGCCACCTGGACACTGCCCTGGCTCCGCAGTCCATCCCAAAACCTTGGCCATCCCAGCTTGTCCTCAAATGCCGTCCCTGCCTCCCCCGTCCCACCGAGGGGCTTTCCTTCGTTCTAAATCTCATGTCCTCCTGGTCATCTTCCCCAGCCTCTCTCCGGCTTTGCCTTCTCTCCCTCCATGCACCAAGCCAGCTATTCATTCTCCCCAGTGACTTTTCCTTTGTGGGCTGTGCTGCCCTGAGCTGCGCCTCCCACCTCTGTGTGGAACCAGAGCCCCATCCCACCTGCTCCCACCGGCCTCCGCCCCATTTGGGCCCTGCCTCCCTGAGCCTGTGTGCCTCAGTTTGGTCTCAGGTGTTTATTCAAAAAGCACAGTTCAACAGGGGGCAGTGACTAACGGGATTCCATCCTTTGCCCTCAACTGACGTTCAAGGGAGGCAAACAGAAATGCAGACCCTTCTCTGTTCCTCTTTGCTGGCACCTGCAGCCTCTGCCACATTGTCCTCGACCTGGCACCCCGCCCCAGACACAATAGCAATGGTAGAAGTATGGCTTCTCACCTGAACATCCGTCAGCTAAGAGAAGGGAGGGCGAATGGCTTTACCTTCTGCTCTCCAGCATTCATGTGTGGCTGATCACCTGGCGAGGGGAGGTCAGCGAGCCGCTCAGAGCCACAGGTGCAACCTCTAAATTCAGTTACCCCATGAGGTGTCCCTGTTAGGGGACTTCACCTTCACTCCAAGGATCTGGATTTAATGTGTTGGGTTCCTCTGAATACAGAGGAAACTTTTCCCTGTGAAAAGATACAAAATTCCCCCCCAAGGTATCATCTGGTGTCAAAACCAGTTTCTTTAAGTGGGACCCATGATCCCTTTTGCTAGGTAGACTTTTCTGGATGCCATCTGGAAATTCCTTCATTTGCCTGTTTTGAAGTGTTCCTCTTCTATCATTCTCTTCAGAGCTTCCTTTAGGTCATGTTTTGGTCATGTGTGTGAGTGGGAGGGATTCTGTTACTTCATTCAGCATTTGGGCAGGCAACTCTTTAGTCTTGTATTTGAAACAGGGCTGTAATGTACAGTTGCTTTCTTACCCCTTGAGACTAAGCCTGCCTTATTTATTTTTAGCTCAAACACCTTTCTCCGAACTTTCTTCAAAATTCATTTTCTGATGCCACTTTTTATTTTCCAGCAAGTTTCAGAATCAAACCTTAGATGGCCCTATGTTGTTTTCCCTTTTCCCAAATCAGCTTTGTCAACACCTGCATCTCGCACAGCTGTGGGCTCTCGATGACGACTGTGTATCATTATCTTCCTCTGTCACCACTTTCTATCGCCTGCGCCCTCTGGAGTTTCATTCTCTATAAGATGACAATGTCTTGTTACTTGAAAATGATAGTTCACCTCAACTGTTGTCAAATATAATGAGTTCTGAATTGGTGATTTTAAGTCTCAGTCCCAGAAAAAAACATGAAGGTTAAGTTTTCTGATCCTTGGGCATCTCTAGTCAAACATGTGCTGCATCTTACGCAGAGAATGAAATCCAGTCTGCTGGTCGGAATTCAGAACATCTGCTTTCTTCGGTGCTGAGAGAAGAACATCAACAGTGTTCTTGGCATATCTTAAAGTTCTGGGAAGCTTTCTTTCTTTCTTTCTTTTTCCTTTAAAGATTCATCCATTCATTTTAGAAAGAGAGAGCGCATTCAAGTGGGGGTAGGGGCAGAGGGAGAGAGAGAGAGACTCCATGCCAAGTGTGGAGCCCTATATGGGGCTCGATCTCATGACCCTGAGATCATGACCTGAGCCGAAATCAAGAGTTGGATGCTCAACCAACTGAGCCACCCATGCGCCCCAGGAAAGCTTTCTTGAATAGCAAGAATGATCATGCACAGAAAACTGGAATTATATTCCTATGGCCAAGCCTCAAAGAGAAATGAATATTTAAAGTCGTTTTTATTTTATAGATGTTGTTTTGTTTTGCACAGTGTGAATCACAACCAACTTAAAAGAAAGTGGTCACTTTTTAGTTTCCTGCCTCAAATTAAGTCTCCCACCCCTGTAAGCTATGGAAGAAATTGCTTCACAGATTTTCTTATGGTGAACTTTTAGCAACTTAAATATGAAAAGGACATGAACAGATAATTCACTAAAAAAGACTAGTACACTTGAAATAAAACGTTCATCCTTGTTCCTTATCTCAAAAATACAAATTAGAAGGTAAAAAGTAGGACCTTTTTTTAACCGCTCATAATGGCAAATTAAAAAAAAAAGATGGGCACATAACTTCTTACATTGCTAATAGGAGTATCAATCTGTACTTCCTCTTTCCATAGTTTGGCTATTGTGGACATTGCTGCTATAAACATTGGGGTGCATGTGCCCCTTCGGATCACTATGTTTGTATACTTTGGATAAATACCTAGTAGTGCAATTCCTGGGTCATAGGCTAGCTCTATTTTTTTTTTTTAATATTTTATTTATTTGACAGAGAGAGACACAGCGAGAGAGGGAGCACAAGCAGGGGTGTGGGAGAGGGAGAAGTAGGCTTCCCGCCAAGCAGGGAGCCCGATGCGGGGCTCGATCCCAGGACCCAGAGATCATGACCTGAGCCAAAGGCAGACGCCCAACGACTGAGCCACCCAGGCGCCCCAAGGTAGCTCTATTTTTGAGGAACCTCCATACTGTTTTCCAGAGTGGTACACCAGCTTGCATTCCCACCAACAGTGTGGGAGGGTTCCCCTTTCTCTGCATCCTTGCCAGCATCTGTTTCCTGAGTTGTTCATTTCAGCCATTCTGGCCAGCGTGAGGTGGTATCTCATTGTGGTTTTGATTTGTATTTCCCTGATGCTGAATGATGTTGAGCATCTTTTCATGTGTCTGTTGGCCATCTGTATGTTTTCTTTGCAGAAATGTCTGTTCATGTCTTCTGCCCATTTCTTGACTGGATTATTTGTTTTTGAGTGTTGAGTTTGATAAGTTCTTTATAGATTTTGGATACTAGCCTTTTATCTGATAAGTCATTTGCAAATATCTTCTCCCATTCTGTAAGCTGCCTTTTAGTTTTGTTGACTGTTTCCTTTGCTGTGCAAAAGCTTTTTATCTTGATGAAGTCTCAATAGTTCATTTTTGCTTTTGTTTTCCTTGCCTTAGGAGAAGTGTCTAGCAAGAAGTTGCTGCAGCCGAAGTCACAGAGGTTGTTGCCTGTGTTCTCCTCTAGGATTTTGATGGATTGCTGTCTCACATTTAGGTCTTTCATCCATTTCGAGTTTATTTTTGTGTATGGTGTAAGAAAGTGGTCCAGTTTCATTCCTCTGCATGTGGCTGTCCAATTTTCCCAGCACCATTTGTTGAAGAGACTGTCTTTTTTTTTTTTTAAAGATTTTATTTATTTATTTGACAGAGAGAGATACAGCGAGAGAAGGAACACAAGCACGGGGAGTGGGAGAGGGAGAAGCAGGCTTCCCGCCGAGCAGGAAGCCCGATGTGGGGCTTGATCCCAGGACCCTGGGATCATGACCTGAGCCGAAGGCAGACGCTTAACGACTGAGCCACCCAGGCACCCAAAGAGACTGTCTTTTTTCCACTGGATATTCTTTCTTTCTTTTTTTTTTTTTAAAGATTTTATTTATTTATTTGACAGAGAG